AAGTTTTCAAAAAGCTGCTTAAAAATCCTGAGATACAGAACTTGATGAGCTGATTGGAAAAATATGGCCTGGTGATGGTGCCGGACCAAAATTTTGGAAATACATATTTTGTTTGAAATTAGATTTTTTTTTAAAATCTTAAAAATTGCCATATTTCGATTGGCCATTCCGGAAAAATGGTAGGATTTATCGCAGAAATGAGGCCGAAATTAACTTCTAAGGGTCGAAATCTACAAGAAAATGGCTTTAAGCCATTTTAAAAAATGGTCGAGAAAGGGTCAACAATTTCATAAATTTAGGCTTTTGAAAAAGTTGGCCAAAAATCCGCCAAAAATTCAGGGATGTAAATCTCGAGGTGCTGATTCGAAAAATGTAGCGTAATTACAGTCCCGAAGCAACATTTTAGAAATATTCGGTCCGAAATTCAGTTTTTTGAAAAATCTAAAAAATTGTTGTATGTACTTCGATCAGCGATTCCGGAAAAATGGTAGGAGTTATTAATGAAATGAGTCCGAAATTGACTTCTGGGGGTCGAAATCCACAAGGAAATGTCTTTGGATAATTTTCGAAAATGGTCAAAAATTGATCAAAATTTTAACTTAATTAAGGGGGGAATATTGAAAAACTGAGCTTTTGGAAAAGTTATCCAAAAATTCGTAAAAAATTCGAGGAAGTAGATCGCGACGTGCTGATTCCAAAAATATAGCGTGTTTAAGATCTCGGAGCAACATTTTGGAAATATTCAGATTGAAATTCAATTTTTTTTTTAAATCTCAAAAATTGACATATTTTGATTAGTTATTCCGAACAAATGATAGGAGTTATCGAAGAAATCAACCCGAAATTAACTTCTATGGATCGAAATCTACAATAAAATGTCTTTAGGTAATGTTCGAAAATGGTTGAAAACTGGTCAAAATTTTCATATTGAAAAATTGAGCTTTTGAAAAAGTTGCCTAAAAATCTTCAAAAAATTCAGAAATGTAAATCTCGAGGCGCTGATTCGAAAAATATAGCGAGTTTACGGTCCCAGAGCAGCACTTTAGAAATACTCGGGCTGAAATTTGTTTTTTTTTTAAATCTTTAAAATTGCTATGTTTCGACTGGCGATTCTGGAAAAATGGTAGGAATGATCGAAAAAATGAGGCCGAATTTAACTTGCGAGGATCGAAATCTACAAGAAAATGTATTTAGTTCAGTTTCGAAAATGTTCGAAAATGGATCGAAATTTGAAGAAAGGGGAAAAAATTTCACTTTTGAAAAAAATCCGCAAAAAATTTTGGGTTATAGATATCGACGTGCTGATCCAAAAAATACCGCGTAATTACAGTCCCGGAGCAACATTTTAGAGATATTCGGTTTGTAATTATATTTTTTAAAAAAACTTAAGAAACTACATTTTGATTGACGATTCTGGAAAAATGGTAAGAATTATGGAAAAAATGAGACCGAAATTAACTTCTGGGGGTCGAAATACACAAGAAAATGTCTTTAGGTAATTTTAGAAAATGGTCAAAAAATGGTCAAAATTTTCACAGTTAAGCTTCTGCAAAAATTCGCAAAAAAATTCAAAGATGTAGATCTCGACGTGCGGATTCATAAAACATAGTGTGTTCACAGTCGCGGACCAACACTTTAGAAATATTCGGCTTGAAATTCAATTTTTTGAAAAATCTAAAAAATTGCCAGATTTCGATTAGCTTTTCCGGAAAAATGGTAGAAGTTATCGAAGAAACGAATGAGAAATTAACTTTTGCCAGTCGAAATCTACAAGAAAATGTCTTTTGGTAATTTTCGAAAATGCTGCAAAAAATTCTGGGATCGTCGAGATCTATATCTCGACACTCTGATTGGAAAAATATAGCGTATTTACGTCCCCGGAGCAACATTTTAGAAATATTCTAATTGAAATTCAGTTTTTTGAAAAATTTGTGGTGTCATATTTCGATTAGCGATTCCTTAAAAATGTGACGAATTAACGAAAAAATGAGTCCGAAATTAACTTCTGCCAGTCGAAATATACAAGAAAATGTATTTAGGTAATTTTCCAAAATGGTCGAAAAATGGTCAAAATTTTCTGCAACTGTTGCATAAAAATTGGCAAAAAATTCTGGGATGTAGATCTCGACGTGCTGATTCGAAGAATATTCAGACGAAAATGCGACGTTGTTTACCAACGTCACAATCTAACATTAATTCAACGTTAAATTTACGTTACATATAAATGTTTATAATTAAAACATGAAATTAAAAAAAATCTAGTAAAACAAGAACAAAACGGGAATCTTTTTAAACGACGCCACGCTGCGACGTTGTACCTACGTCGGTGGGCATTTTTATGTATGTTTGTGACAACTTCATTTACCTTGTTTCCAGTTCAATGAATCGTTATCCGAAGTGTACAAATAAACAACGATTTTTTCAACAGAAAAGCTGAATTTAGTGAAAGATCGTGACAGAATTCATATAGCAAATCAACGGGAGACGACACTTGTCCCATTTTATAAATTTCCCTTGAGATATCGCATTGCATGTTTGTTTCTAGTATAGTGTTTGCATAATTGTTTGTATTCTCTTAAAAGTATGTGGTTATTAAATAGTGTTTATTGATATCTAACTTACGTATTCAGCGGTAGATTTTAATTTTCACACAAGTGCTGGATAAAAATATAGGTGTATCTAAAACCACTTAAAAAGAGAAAGAATCAATTAAAATTAGTATTTTGTATTTACATATTACGTCGGAATCGTTTAACATAATTCGTTTTGTTTAACTATGGATCTTACGGTCGTATGCTTTTCGAGCTAAAATCGTTTGTGGGTTTGTTACGTTACATAAAATAACCAACATTCAACTATTAAAAAATTCAAGCCAGAGAAAAAATTCCAATGTAGAAAAAACTGTGTATGGAGACAAGTTTTTCAGACGTGTCGCTTTCACAATTTTGTCGTCGGAAAATGCTTGTAGGGTAGGCAACTTTATATACACCGAAAACCGAATACGGTGTTTACATTCTTCCAAAACTTAAAAGTTAAATTAAGATAGCGTAATTATGTGTGTGTACACATACAGGCTAATCTAATCAATTAAATTTTGTGTCATTATTTCGTGGAAACCTTGTTCTGATACTTTGTTCTATTGCTATCACTATCCCCTTGACCTTTGAGGGGATCGCATCAATACAATCTTAATTTTTTACTAATTGTTTGTCAATCTTTAGACAAAGGCTTTTCTGCTAACATGGTGTGTATTCCTATTTCTAGAAAGCGACAAAATTATAAACATTTGACAGCAAAATGATTAGAGATATTTCAGAAAGATCTAACAGTTAGTTAAAAATTAAAACCCAAAAAATAATTTTCATATTCTTTATTTACAACCTAGAGAGTTGAGATGATTTTATAAATATGACAAGGTTGTGTTTTTAGATATATTCTTACACCTGGGCATCACATATAAGATATTCGAGCTCAAAAACTAAGGTCAGTTTCTAGGTGCATTTTGAGTCTTACTAAACTTGAACCTTACTGATGCGAAAAAAAATTGTTTTCGGTTTTTCACTATTGTTTCCTGCTTCTCTGTTGCCACATAAAACTCACAGATGACGCTGGGTATAAAATCTAAAAATGTAGCCAAGCACTGCTAAATTTGGGAATTTGAAACAAACTCTTAAGGTACCTGAAATATGTAGTCTGAAGAAGATAGAACAACCAAAATTTCTTATTTCACAAGGGAAATACTTACCAGTTATTTATTTTAACTACAGTATACATAAATGTGAGCATGTTGCCCAAACTAGGTTTTCTAATATGGGTTGTGTGCAAGATCTGCGAGACCTTAGATAAAAGTGTCAAGAACTGTGGAAAAAGATAAATATAAAATATTTGATAGTGTTTATATAGGAATAATGACAGACGGTGGTTTAGAAGTGAACATGATGACACGACATTGACATTCTGTGGACGAAATTTTAAAACTGAAGAAGAAGATTAGAAGTAGCTCTTTCTTCTGATTTGTAGTCCATCAAATGAGAGTCGGTGTTAGAGGTAAGATACAATACCCTGCTTCATTGAGAAGACGTCTACAGTTCTACAGTTCTGGTGTGAGCAACATGTGAACATCAATCACCAAAACATGAATCATTATTATTTTTAGGTAGTTGTATTTTCGTCCAGAACCAAATGATTCCACTTTTTGAAGCAAAATTTTATGAAAATTTTGTATCTTTAGCTTTAACCTTCGAAATCTTGCATTCCACATGTCACTCAGAGCATTTTGGTTAATTTTTTTGAACTTGGTGTCTGCCAACCAAACATCCCTAAACTATTTACTCCTGTCGAGCTTAATAAAACCGTACCCCAGAAGTTTGTTTTAATTGGCAGATTTACAAGAAAATTTCCTGTGTGTTAAAAATATTGCATTTTTGGCGTACAGCCATTACTAATGCACTTGACCACTTAACTTGCCCGATTTAAACAAAACAAAAAAAAAGTTATACGTTTATCAATTTTTGGTGGTCAGCAACGTTTCACATGATCCTTTGTGAAACATATATTAGTAATTCTTATAAAAACAGAAACATTAGTAAGATAAGAAGGTAATTTATTTTAAAACGTCTCCAAATAAATAAATATTGAATGCGTTTTGCCTTGTGTTATTAAAAATTCCGACAGTCATAATTAACATTATCACCTATGTACATGTACGTGGTACAAGTAAACAAACTAACATACAGATAACAGCCAAGGGCAACATAAACAAAACTATGGACTCGTTTTTATTATACATGTGCAAGATTGATAATTGTAGTTTTTTCGTAGATGTGACACAATTGAAAAAACGCGAGTCCATAGAAATCCAAATTTAGAAAAATAGGCAACTTTTATTACGTTTGTCTAATACTGAAATTGTTTGAAGGAAAAGTGAAAAACTAATTCGCATTTGATTTTATGGGGACGGGTGTTGGGGATTTTTGGAAAACATAAAAAAACGATTGGTAGAAGTTTAACAGCAGTTTATCAAATAAACACAAATTGACATTTTTATATAATATTTATAAAAAACATAAAAAGTCTGATATTTAACAAAATATTAAAGGAGAAACTGTTTTTACAGTTTTACAAACCTTATCTCAAATTGACTAACAAACATACAAAAGTGTATAAAATAATTATAAAAACAATTTAAATAGTATTTTGTAAATTACAAAAAAATAATAATAGTTATAATAATAATAAACTAGTTTGTTGCTAGTCAAGGAGCCAACGGTCAACAAACCGGGCAAAAACTGAAAGATCCATTTTGGGCAACAATAAGGATCTGAAACAATTGACTATCCCTAATCGAGGCAACAGCCCAATGTATTGCACTAATGGTAACTACAATCAAAACTGGAAACACGCAACTGTTGCCAGCTTCATCTCAGACTGTTCGTAGTTCGCAGTTTGAGAGTGTCCATATCCACATATAAAATAGTAAATAATAACTCAAAAAATTTGTTTGAAAACAGTTATAAAAAGTAAAAAATGTATACAACTTTAAAAACTTCCAATAAATACACAGCTTACATAGTAAAAATATGAAAATTATACAATCAGTTTAGAAACAATCTGACTGCACACACTTCTAAATCTCAAAAACGGATAAAAAGTTATATAATCGTTAGATCAAAATGACAACTGTCTACAGAATATGATACGGTCTTGTCCGTTTCAACTATCATCTACTCCCCACAGGGCAGGCGAGCAAATATACAAACAGTAGAAAAAGGAGTGTAAATCTTTACAAATCATATCAATACATATTTGTACCATATTGTAGATGGTTCGCACGGGCCGGGTGGCTGCACCCTGACTAGACGTTTACGGGTACGGCCTGCAATCTCATCGCCCCGCGCCTATTTACACAATTACCTAGGAAACGTTATGTTATATATTCATTAATTACGGTTAAAGATAAAACTCTACGGCGCCGAGGTCAGCTGGGCCACCTCCAACGCAATTATTGCACACATCAAACTTTTGCTAATCACCATTTATAACAGTTTAGTATAAAAATTCAAATTTAAAAAATACAAAGTCTTAGAATAGCTGATACTATATATATAATATACTATACATATCCGTGCAATTCATTTAATACATAAAGACGTTTATGGTATCACACATTAAAATAAAGGATGGTAGGAGTGCGGACATGAAGCAGGTTCGCGGGGCAGCGGGAAAGCCAAGGTGGGTTAGTGTTAGGGCATAGGGCTAAATAGCGGGACACGGACAAAGGCGGGCCGGTCAGGTACTTGGGGGCTATAAGTGGTCGCCGCAAGCGAAGGTCCTCTGCCCAGCAGCGGCTTGCAGATTAGACTAGTATTTACAATACCCTGAAAGTTTCTGACTGTACCGCACTAGACATATACATACGGAAGAAACACCTCTTTTGGTTCCTCTGTCTTAGTTCCCCTCTACTCGAAAACAGTAAACCAAAAGGATCTTCCTTTTCAGATACAGCGATACACATCGTAGTCGTACAATGGCTGAACGCAGACGCATCGGCTGGTGCTGGTGCAGTGGAATCCGCTACCACCAGGCGCCTCAGACAGAAGATAACTGGTTACATGTATACTTTAAATATGTATAATTGCTACTAGATAATTATGCCTATGCGATGGACAGCCGTGCCGCCGGTGGTAATAAGCTAAAAAATGGCGGCCGCTGACTAAGCGCTCCTGCGTTAACACCAGCGGAAAGGAACAGCTCTTGGTCGATCCGCACCCTCCTTTACCAAAGGTTTATGAAACTCTCTCCCGGGTCTCGAATGAATTGTCGCCCAGCAATGCTCACAATAGTACTGAAACAATACCAATCAACTACGACACCCTTCTTCCTTATCACCTACCTGCAAACAAGTCACGTTAGCACAGAAAAACGGGGCAAATTTACCCCCACAACGCTGTCCTTGACATTCATCACACATTTGATCGTCCAGAACGTACGGTTTCACTTCTACCCTTTTGTCAATATCACCATGTTGAAGTTGGACAAAACGTGCACTAATCGCCGCTATATAACTTTGCTGGTTACTAAAAGCTACGCGTCCTGCCCCTTTTGGATACTTGAGCTCTGGGTCTGTGTCAATGCCTGCATAACACACTCCACCATAAAGACGATCCATTATCATAGCTAACTCCACTGCAAAAACGTACACCGTAATACCCCTCCCTTGTCACGCGCACTGCTAAGCTCCCGCAGAACGCGTACCTTTGCTTCCTACTTCCGAACCCCGGACAAAATCAAAACGTAAACACTACAAGCTCGCCGGCTTCCACCCGATAGTACTGTATATAGTACACGAGGAAGCAAAGCTACCACGCGCCACCGGAACGCTTCATCTTCGATACTTACCAGCTTTCAAAGGACGTGGGACCCCACCTACGAACACAGTTTTTCGAGGATCTAACGGCATCGATGCATCCAAAACGAAGTCCGCATCGGACAACCTCCATGGTCTAATCTGTACAGGCTTATCTTTGATTGTGGGCGACGATACACATAGATACAACTTGTCCTCGTCAGTAATGCACGCGTCTATTAAACTTTGTACAGAATTTTCATCCTGCAAGTAAAACGTTCGTCAGTTTTGGAGGTATTCAGAAGTAGTACGAAACGGCAGCACCTGGAATAATAGGAATGCATATCCTTTCGGGGGGAAGTAAGACTTGCTTTCGGCTTTGTGAGGCCAGTCGACGACTAGGGGTCCAAATCTTCGGAAACTAGCTGTGATTTCGTCTTCATCTATATCCGGCGGAAGGCCTCCTACGAACACTTTACGCGAGAATCTCTCACCACCCTCAGAACCCTGCGAATGCGGGGACGACCTCGACGGAGAGCTAAGGGGTTGAGCACCACCTAACGTAGTATCCACTAAGTGAGGCTCTTCGAGCAGTACCGGCCCGGCTTGGTCATCTAGAACTTGGAAGTAAGACGATTTCCCTAAAACAGAGTCATAAATTATTCATCCGGCGGCGGAACACGAAGTCGGGGTTTACTTTGAAACATTTATTTGAAAAAAGGGTTCAACTCATGCAACCAAACACTCTAATGTAAATGCGGCATTTATTTGGTCTATGTAACAAATAGTTACGGTTTGATAGGTAGGTAAACGAGTTGGTAGGTTGTGAAATTGACGGCAAGTTTGTCAATAGTGGCGAGGCGCATGCGCGTTTACGCAGAAACTACCCCAATTTTAGGAGGGCACGTGGACGAGTGCATCGACCCTCGTACAGCACGTGCTTAACTTGGTGGGGGTGTTCTGTCTCACCCGGTTTTCATCACCCATGGGTGGGGATGAGAACCTACAGTCTGTTTTCGGTATATTTGGCTGGATTTCCATCTCAATTAGACCACTTTACTACGAGTAGCAAAGTATTTATTAACTACAACCACATCAAGCTCTCTACCCACTTTAAACTAGCAAATTTCAGCCGACACCAACACCAACATTCGAATTTCTCGTCCTCGCAACTCTACTGGTTACACACAAAATGGAAAATATTTATTAGGAGTCACGGGACCTCTCGGCCTTGACGTATCGAAAAAACAAAATGGTGTGCTCAGTTAGCATAAATTAAGCAATTCAAAATGTAACACTTATGTAATAACACAACCCAAGGGAACGTTAAGTAAACGACGACACCCTGCTAAAATTTCAACAATAGTTGTTAGGGTAGGGTTGGACTATTTTAAATTTGCTACAAACAAATATTAAGTAAACAATGAAGTAATTTATGAGAATGTTTTAATTTAATGTTACGTAAACGTAAATAAACATGTCGTAAAATTAAACTGTTTTCAACTACCGTTGTTGGTTCGCAACCGTGTTCGTAACACCATTATGAGGTTAGGAAAAATTTTTCGCAAATCAACCACATGGTGACAACGTAAAAACTTACCATGTAACTGTGTCAGTGACTGGAAAGCATTGGTATTGCAGTTGATAAACCCTAAAACAATTAAACCAGTATGATTATACAGTAGGTATAAGCTACAAAAGAAATCACAGCAATTTTTTTTTGGTGTTACCAAAAGCATGAATTTGTGCAATGTCATAAACTATACGTAAAGAAGACGTAATAATAACTGAAATTATGCTGGCGGTTGTGTAACGCGCGGGGAATTTACTATATCGTTCGTTTTTCAAGGAAAATCACCGTTTGTACACCCATCTGGTCCGAAACCACAAAATGGAGGTTAATTATTTTTGTCAACACTGACGACTTAAGCTCCAATGGGGCTTAATGATGGAAGTTTTACTTTTATCGTGCTATATTACGAAATTTTAAAAGCTACTCCCGCTTTATGTGATAATAGGGATGAGTGAGCGCACAACACCCTCGTTAAAAATAATTTACATCTTATATTTTGCAACGAATGACTGCGCAAACATTCGAGGGACGAATTTTCATTAAAGCGTAGATTTCCAGTCTTTCGACCAATACATGGTGCCTTACAACCTCTACCATTTTCGGATCAGTGAAAGACTCTTTAATAATGACAACAATTTGTTCGACAAGCTGTAAAAATGCGGAAGCCTGACGTTTTAATTAAAAAGATAACCTTTGGCCTCTTATATGTCAATAAAAAAATGCTTTGCGAAACTCCGAACGTCCACACTTTTTTCATTAACATACTAGCCTGCATTTCAACACAGGTAATTATAAAACCAGTTGATAGAATGTTCCGAATGTCATAATTCGGTTTGATTTAACTGCGAAAAAATCCGCCATGACTTTGACTCCGGGTATATGTTGAACTTTATCGATAACAGAATTAGCACGGTTACTCAACGTTTTATTGGAACGCAGTTTGGCATTTTTCGACTTTTCGTAAATTTCGTAACGTGCGCGTAATCTTGATCGTGATTTATAAGCACCTACGTCGAACTCGATCATTTCTAATAATTATTCCGGAATTTTAATAATACGGTGTTACCTTTGATCCACATAATGCACGCAAGGTCAATAACATATTCTATTTTTGTAGACGAGTATTGTTGCGTATAAATTATCGACAACTTTCACTCGAACTTTTATATCACACCTACTAAAATTACATAATGTAATTAAGCCCGGTTTAGACTAATTAAGAACGTAACGCACTGCGTGCGCCAAGACGTAGCCTGATCTCTTCTCACGGTTACGAAGGAAAATTACGGCGTTTTAACGCCAAATCAATACTGGTAAGGTGATTTGACGCAAATGCGATTCATCATCAAGCAGATCAAGTGTGCCAAGAGTCGAATTTACACCCGATCAAATCAGTGGACACATTTGCCCCCCGGGAAACACCCTCAGAACTTGTCCGTAATTTACGACGGAAGCGGAGAAGAGGCGGGGTTAGGTCTTCGACTTTTCACCCAGGTCGCCCTACTAGGATCCGACTTTGAACCTTCGCCCGAACACCGCTTGTAAAATCTGACGTTTGTGTTAATATTTGGTGGAGGCCTTATTTTGGCAACCGCGTTGCTACGGTAACACATTGACAGTTTTTCTCGTATTTGTGTGGAGCTCGTCGCAAAAATAGTGATCCACGTGGAGCGAGACCAGTGCCTAGGATCCTCGTTATTCTTAGTAGCTTAATCAGAATATTTTATCAGGAGATAAGTGGACTTTTATTTGCATTTCCCACTTTACAGGTGGTTTGTTTATCGGTGTTACGTCAGAGGTATTTACCAATTGTAGCGGTTAAACTTACGGAAAATTTGATAGAGTGAGAAGTTTACGAGTTCAAATATGTTTAATGTTTAATAGCGCCCATATTTTTTATGCCCCTGGGCAAACTGCGGGACAAATTTATGGATTGCAAGCGTTACGAAACGCTAACCTTAAAGATAAAATTTCAAGTGTTTTATATGTGTAATTTGAATACAGACATAATGAAATGAATGCCTTGTCACAGAGAAAGTTATTCTAAAATCCGCACACGCCACAACATTTTTGTGCAACATGAACCTTCAATTAATTTTACTTTTTCAGCTGAACAATAGCTTGAGCAACAATTAAGAAATTCATTAAAACGGAAAAGAACTAATTAAGGAAGTGGACTCGCGACTAAATTCCGATATCCTGGATGAGGACGCAGCTGGCTAGATCAATACAGCAAACCGTGTATTCACAAAGGGCCGTAATACTCCGCTCATACATTATATAGTACCATGTAGTAGTATTTATTCGAAAATTTCGAAAGTAGGGTGGGAATTCAGGACAACGGGTCGAATTAAAACAAAGGGTGTTTGACTCCAGCGAGTACAACTACCCCGATATCGATTTAAACCATTTAAGAACACGCATGCCCTGCTTCTGTCAAAACCATTGCACGGATTGAAGCTGTAAATTTTATGGGACCTTTCGCCGCCCTGCCCCTAGATTTACCACTGCATTATTGTTTAACTCACCCTTTAATTAAATTTAAGACACTCTACTTAACACCGCCAGCCTCCAGACCCTACTTATTGAGTCCCGAATCCCCAAATTCTTAATCAACCAGACATCTGGCTCCCAATCTCGACAAAAACCTCACATTTTCAAACCGAAAACATATTTTGCTTGCGCGCCCAACCCCGAACACAAATTTATCTCGTTGTTATCAACACGTTACATCAGTTCCAAACTGACGTAACGTCTTGATGGAACTTTTTCGAAAGAAATTGCGTCATCTGAGCGAATCCCACCGACTGCGCCAATTTTTATACCACGAAAAGTCGATTTCGTCCAATAAAACGAAAAACAGCTGTTTCATGATATAAAAGTAGTTTTGACATGAAGCAATTTTTTGTTATTGCTTGGAATTTTTTTATGAACTAAAAATTATTAAAAATCTCGTGATGGTGTAGCGTCGATTTTGTCCCAAGAGGTGTCATGTCTCGGTAATTTATGACACGGATAAATAAAACATTAGGTCACGTTTTCGTACATGTCGAGCTGTTATTAGTGGAAAAATTGGAACATAAACATGGCGGCAATTCAATAAATGTAGCATTTCGTATTAGTCACAATAGAGTGATTATCATTTTAACTATTTACAAGCCACAAAAAAAATCGTGTCTTATTGAGCGAAACGCAACGTATGCGGTACATGAGATAACGCGAAAAAATTAATTCCTCCATCAAAAAATGTATTGGGGTGACTAAACATAATACTGCCAGATTAACCGTAATGTAATGACGGATTGATGTAAAAAAATTGTTCTTTGATAGATTCGATAAGCTTTCAAAACGCCACAATTAATAGTAACATTTCGGGTTGACAAAACATGAACTAACTCGGCACTAGAATATAAAAGTTGCCTGATGTAAATCTACTTTCATATAGAAGCCGTCAGATTCGTACATGGTGACAGAAAATGCAGAACTCATTTTAAAACTTGACGGTGCAATCGCCCGTATTTACATATAAACTGAAACTGGAACAAACACCTACCCGTAGCTTATTATCAGCCGTAGGTAAATAATTTAAGTTGCTAATAGCCACTTTGGACATAAATGTCGCATGCGATTGTCACTACATTTAACCTTAATTAATTGTCACTAAACCACAATTACACCGACGAAATTTAAAAAATTTAAACCAGGGAATGCAGAAATATGTTTCATCACGTAGTTCAAAATCGATTTTTTTGTAACATGAAATTGATATCACATAGTTTTGGTAGTTGCAATATCAGGAGAAAATGTCATAGAATCGAAACTGTGAAATAACTGCATTTGTTACACTAGAGTAGAAATGTTTTCAAGGACCACCATGTGTGTAGTCATTCGCAATTATAAAATTACGCAAAATACATAATATTAGTGTCATCTCAGGTTTCGAAATTCTTTCCTGTGATCTAAAAGTATAAATATAAAATAGCAATTTAGCATCTATGGCAACAGAATATAAATGAACGGATTAAAAAAAAAACAGACCGCTAATCGGAAGTAGAAATCGCAGACTAAATGATTTTTATAAGAATTACCGCAACAATACTTTTAATTTCATAGTTGAAAATCCTTGCGAAGATTTCACAAGAGGAACCATTGTTCCGTTTATGCACCGAATGATTCATCACTCTTTGAAAACGAAAAGTGCTAGCAAATTCGCACCTGCTTCGGTCAATATTTCGAGTGATGAAGTTGGTTGTAGAAAATTTTAATAGAGTTAAGCTTAGCTCGCACGACGGTCGTTAAAAATTGAAACGCTATAAGCAAGACGCCCCTCACATTATCTGTCGGACAGATGGTACACCCCCTACAGCTGCGGCAACAGATGAGTCTGATCGAAATGTCATCACTGGTTCTGATCGCTTTCGAAAGAGTAGAAACAAAAAGGATGACCACAACGAGAAATCTTTAGTTTCTAAAGCATCCACTCGAAACAGAACTAATTTGGCGATTATGTCAGAGATGGGTGTTGCAGATGTATTGACAATCCCATGATGGGTGTTGCAAGGGCGTAAGTAATCCATAGCCAGATAACGAGGGAGAGAGCGAGCAAGCAAGGTGTTTTTAAATTAATAAAGCGCAATCTCCATGACCTGTTATTACAGAGGATGCCCCTAGTGAGAAGATAGGGGAGAAATACGAGCTGAGTAGTTGCAATTTACGTTAATAATAAATCTGACCTAAAAATTAGATTCGAGTACTGCTTACGGATTTACAAGGCTATAAATCCACAGAACATGTAATTAGTACATTTCAATGTTAAGACCTTAAGCCGTGATTAGTAAAACTTTGTTGCAATTGGCGAATCGTTGCTAAAACGAAAGTTTAAGCAATAAACGGATAAAGAGGAAGCTCGTCACTGTTGTGGGAGGAAATAATAATTAATCGTAAGACCTCAGCTCGAAATGTCGTAAACACAGTAATGAAATTTTCACTTTGCTGGTTTTCTAATGAAACACTTCAATAATTCCACAAACTTTTTATTTGTACATGAGCATTATATGCTTGTGACAACCTTAACCTTG